ACAGTGAAACTGGCACTGTGCCCACTGTGGCACTTCTGGTTTCGCAGAGCCCCCATGGCCCAGGGGAAAGCAGCCTGTACAGGTCCCCCCCCCTCCCTGTCCCTCAGGGCCTGTGGGAGGGGTGGCAATGCAGCAGGAGGGGCAGATTTACCACATTGCTTCTGTGGAACTTGTAGATCTAATTTGGGACTGCAGTGTGCAAATAGAGCAGATATCAGTTCTACCCCTGCTGTCTGAAACATGCCTGATAGTGCAGGGGGATACCAAGGTAACTTAGCAGTCAAACACCCTTAAATAGGTTGGTAAAAGGGAAGGGTTGAGGGGGGGAAAAAAAAAGAAAAAGAAAAGCTTCCCCCCGCCTGTTAGCAGTTGGGACCTGAACACAGTCACTTTTGGGTAACAGAAACCTGGGGCTGTATGATCCTGAGTTAGTGCATGATTGCAGCTCAGAGGTTCTAGTGGACATCAGAACTGCTCTAGATTACTCTGGTTCTTTGTGCCTCCATCCAACGATAATGTGGCTACCCAGCCTTAAAGTCCAAATAATCAGTGCTGGACCTCCAGACAGAGTTAGCTTTAAAGTATTAGTCACATAGCTAAATGCCTGATTCAGCCAGCTGAGAATCAGTTTGCTCTATCTCATAAATAATGCAGGGTCTACTTTTGAAATGATGATTCATCATCTCAAATTACAACATATTCTATTGATGTTGAGGACTGGCTTTCAATAGATAGTGTATGGTGAGGAGTAATAGCTGTTCTGTGTCTTCCATTAGACAGATGATGGCAATGGGGATTTGGACCCTGGAGTCCTGCTGACTGCTCAGACCATCACCTCTGAGACGCCCAGCAGCACAACCACCACACAAATCACAAAGGTAAATGGGGACAGTGAGAGGACAAGTAGGGCCTGTGGGAGTTGTAGAGATGTTCCTTAACTCCCAAAACCAAGCTGTCATTTCCTGATCAGATGTTGAGTGGCACAGCAATTACCCCTCCAATTCTGTCTCTCCTTCTCTGCACTTAATTTTGCTAGACATCAATACAGTCCCGAGAGGATATATCTTTCTGTATGGAGATCTGTACCATCTGAGTTTCAAACTGATCTCACAGTAAGCTGAGATCCTGTGTTGCTCTAACTTAAAGCTGAGCTGGACTTGAAAAGAGTATGCACAAATTGACATATAGTTAATTTAGATTTCAGGCTTTCCTAGACCTTTTATTTAATGCAGAGTTTAGACTGTAAATGGCTGAGGCTTGGCCATGGTAGAAAAGCAAACTTGCTTGCAAAGAATGAGTTTGAAGCTTTCATCTTAGTTCTATGTTACACAACAGTCCTAGGTCTGTGGCAGCAGGCAGCTGGAGGCTGCAACCAGTGCACCAGGGCCCTATGGCTGCAATGACTGCACACATGCCTCAGGATGCATGGTGAGGAAAGGGCCTTGAGCAGCACAACCCCAACCCCTTCCCCCCCATGTGCCCTGAAGTGCATGTGCCAGCTGCTGCTGCCACAGCTGGGCTGGGGCTCCAGACCCTAGTGCAGCTGCAAGTAGCCTGGGCTCTGTGACAGCCATAGCTGCACACATACCTCAAGGTGCATGGCAGGAAAGGGGCTGGAGGCAGCGCAGCCCTAGCCCCTTTCCCACCATGCTCCCTGAGGCATGTGTGCAGCCACTGCCAGCAACAAGCTCGAACCCTGGTGCAGCCACTTGTGGGCTTGCAGCTGCGTGCTGCAAGCAACCCAAGCTATTTGAGGAGCCCATCCCTGCTCCCCTGCCCTCTTTTTGCAGCATGGATTATGTGCCTATTGCATGGGCTTCCCTTTGGGGAGGAGAGGGGGTACCCTGTGCTTCCTGCCTTGCAGTGCCTGTATCTGGCAGCCAGCAGCAGCTCTCCCCTGTTTCTCCTTCCCCTCCCAGCATGCTGCCCCTGTGCATTTGGCGGGAGGGGTGGGGTACATTCATTTGAATCGTAGCTCTGGTTTGTAAATCTCTTGCTCTGTGGGAGGAAGTGGTTGCAAACTTGCCCCTCTCCCTCCCTAACTCCCCGATACCATTCGTTATGTGTGCTCTGCCCCTTTGCTCAGCTGATCCAGAGATGGGGGGTGCTGGAAGGCTGCTGCAGCTGCTGCCTGGAGGAGTCCTCCAGGGGGGACAGCTGGCCCCTGGAGCAGTTCCCTCTCCCTTCCTCCCCACCTATGGTGGTGGTGATCCACACAGAGCCTAGGCTGCTTGCAGCAGGCAGCAATAAGGTTGCAAGTGGCTGCACTGGGGTCTGGAGCCCTGGCCTGGCTTGTTGCTGGCTGCAACTGTACACACGCCTCAGGGAGCGCAGCAGGGAAGGGGCTGGGGCTGCATTGCCACAACAAGGATTAGTCCCTCATGGCTCCCCTGCCATCTGCCCATGACACAACATCTTCAAAGTCTATAGGTTGTAGGGTTTTTTGGCAGTTGGCCCAAAAATGTTGCCGACCTCTGAGCTACAGTGCCAGTGTCTCTTTACTATGATCCGAGCCTGAAAAAGAAAAGAAAAATGTTTTTTAAATAGCTTTTTATTGGTTTGTACTTGGTTTAAAATAGTGGCCGCCAGCCGGTCGATTGAGATGGCGACCACTATTTTGGTGGTGGATGGGTCATTTTCAACCTGGAGGGATGTGG